GCTGGGACCCCCGCTTCAATGACGCCCCCTCTTCCGTTTCCCTGCCCACCAAAAACAGAAAGAACTTCAGTCAGCTCAAGAGAGCCAAACCCTACGGTTCCCTGTTCCAGCGGGCAAAGCCCAGCAGCTTCCTGCCGGAGCGAAAGCAACTCGATAAGATGAGGAAGAAGAAAAAGCTGAAGAGGAGGGAGACGGAGGTGTCTGCAGAGCAGGACTACGAGGAGAAGCTGCCGGAGCTGGAGGCGGAGGACTCTTACGTAGAGACGCCGCTGAGCCCCTCGTCTGAGGGCGACCCTCAGTCTGCGCCCGAGCACTGCTCGGTCTGGGACTCTGACACGCCTTCCAGCGTCTCCTACCCCGCCGTGACGGCCGAGCAGACGGTGGAGATCCAGAGCGTGGGCAAACGCACCGTCATTCGGCAGGGCAAGCAGGTGGTCTTTCGGGACGAGGACGGCACCGGCGACGACGAGGACATCATGGTGGACTCAGGTAGGTGGCCTGGCTGTCGGAAGAGGATTAGCTGGGTGGAAGCCGTGGTGATGTTGCTGATCTCTTGGGTACTTTACTTGTAGCATGAGGATGACACCACGGTGGGCAGAATTCAGTAGCAGTTGGGTTTTTTTTGGGGGGGAAAAGGGGGTTGTTTGGCTGCTTTTGCAATAAGCTGAGTGAAAAGCTGCAACTTCATAGGAGCAGCTGGTTCTCTGCTGGATTACAGCCTCTCGTACAGCTCAGAGTCTCTTCCTGCATGAGAGAGACCTGGAAAAATCAGCAAAGTGCCTGACTTTGAAACCAGGTAGTTAATTTGGAGCGAAAGGGGAGTAAATCCCGCTGCAGGCGAGAGGCTCGGCCGCTAAAAACGAAGCTTGCCCGTTTCTCTTTGCAGATGATGACTCGTGGGACCTCGTCACTTGCTTCTGCATGAAGCCCTTTGCCGGGCGGCCGATGATCGAGTGTAACGAGTGCCACACCTGGATCCACCTCTCCTGTGCCAAAATCCGCAAGTCCAACGTCCCAGAGATCTACATCTGCCAGAAGTGCCGGGACTCCAAGTTTGACATTCGCCGTTCGAACCGCTCCCGGACGGGCTCGCGCAGGCGCTTCCTGGACTAGGGGAGAGGAGGGGAGGGGAGG